ATTTACAAGTCCATGTATATTAAGACTATTCATCTTATTTTTTGATGTGCTACATGCCCTAGAAGTCTGTCAGCGGTTCTTTGGATTATCCTGTATACAGGCTGATTCTCAACCTATACGCATAAACTGAGGGATTTATTCCTCAGGACAAATAATGACTAATAGATGAAAAAAATTGTAGTAAAAGTTTTTTAGATAATGTGTCTGATAATCTAGATAATGTGTTTCCTGGAAGATGAAGAGGTCGAGATGGTCCAATGGCCTGGCCACAGTGATCGCCCGGCTTCAATCCTCTTGATTTATACCTTTCGGGTCACTTAGAAAGCATGGTGTATGCCACAGAAGTTAATACTCAGCAAATATTGCAAAATCAGATACATGCTGCTGCCCAGACAATCCGTCAATACCCTGGTTTAGGCCGCGCTAGTGTGGGATCGTGGATTCGGAGAGCCTAATTGATAGAAAGTAACTTCAAACACTTGTTGTGATGTTATTTTAAAATGTTCTATGTTTCCTTGATTTGAAAGTAAATATCACGGATATCTATGAAACAGAAAATCTTTTGCTACTAATTTTTTCGCCTATTACTCATTATTCATCATGAGGAGTAAATCGCTCAGTTTATGCGTGTAGGTTGAGAATCACCCTGTATAGAGTGTCTCACGTAACTGGTTCATTAGAACTTTTTCGGGTACCAGTATTCGTAGAGGTTTGAAATTTATCGCGTTATTAAATTCTACCGGAACTAGACCATGACTTCGTTATTTTAAATGGAATGCTATAGTTTTTATTGCAGCTTTTAATTGTACGTAAAAAAATATGTTGACCTTGATAAAAGTTATTGGTACTTTGCATTTTTCATTTTCGAGTTAATTTGATTTTAAGCGGTTTTTTGGCAAATTTCACCATGCTCTTTGAAATCCCATATCTCAGCCAACCTTCATTCAAAAAAGCTCTAAATTGTCACGATTACTTTTCCTATGTTGTCAAATAGATTGTCATTTGTTGTATCAGAGTACCTTATACAGCGTGGTCAAAAATTGAATTACTGTTTCTCCATATTCAATGGCGAGAAAGTAGAAAATTTTAAATTAAATGAAATGTATATTTCATTATATACAGGGTGCCCATTATGTATGGAATATAGTATATATCTTGGTAAGTATCAACTTTACAAAAAAAATTTTGTACAAAATTTGTTTAATATTTGATTTGCCATAATAAGACACCATTCAATTGTTTTTATTTCAGAAAACAAATGAGCAACGAATAACATTTAATTTTTTTTAAATGGCAATGTACCCTTTCGTTAGGCTCATTTGATAGAGATTTTTTTTCTCTTTACGATGACGTAAAATTTTAGTACCCTTATACTAGAAAATTTTTGAAAAAAATGTAAAAACAGTTTATTAAGTTAATTTTGCCAATAACATGAATCTAGATATCCGAAATCTTATTTGTCCTAACAATTGAATGTAAGCTATTGAATGTGACAGAATCTTGTTTATTTAAATAAGTTGGTAGATCAAAAAAGAAAAATGGTTCATTTAACAGAAACTGAACGCATAGAAATTTTAATTATGGTCGGTTATGGGGATCGCAAACGAACACAATTAGAAGTATGTGAAATTTTCAATGAGCGTTATCCACATCGAGAACCAATCACTCAATCAGTAGTTAGCAAAACTTCGAAACGTTTTAGGGAAACTGGTAACGTTAAAGATCTGCCAAAGACTGGTCCGCAGAGATCTGCAACAGATGAAGATAAAAAGATCGATATTCTCATAGAAATCGAAGAAAATCCAAACATTTCAACTCGTCAGTTATGTTTAAACCATGCTCTAAGTAAAGGTTCAATACACAAAATATTACATGCAGAAAATTTACATCCGTACAAACCGACTTTATTGCAAGAATTATCCGAAGATGACTACGGTCGACGTGTTGAATTTTGTGAATTTATGATGGAGCGAATCAACAGCAATCCAAATTTTCTCAATAATATGGTTTTCTCTGACGAGGCTACGTTTTGTTTAAATGGTAATGTAAATAAGCAAAATTCTCGATATTGGGCCGCTAAAAATCCCCATTGGATGATTCAAAATCATACTCAAACACCACAGAAATTAAACGTATGGGTGGGAATTTGTGCAGATCACATAATTGGACCTTTCTTTATTCGAGGTACTCTAACTGGTCACCGTTATTTACAATTATTGCAACAGCAAATTATCCCAGCTTGCCAAGAAAATCTTGATGATCTTTGGTTTCAACAAGATGGGGCACCGCCCCACTATCATTTAGATGTACGCCGATATTTAGATACGGTATTTCCGGCCCGTTGGATAGGCAGAAGAGGGTCTGTAGAGTGGCCACCCCGATCTCCGGATCTTACACCTTGCGATTTCTTCTTCTGGGGATATTTAAAATCTAAAGTTTATGTAAACCGACCTCAAAATCTGACAGAATTAGAGCAACGAATAAAAGATGAAGCTGCAGCTATTTCTCCCAGATCGCTAAGAAATTCTTTTCAAGCCTTTTATGATAGATTGGGCCACTGCCTTGCAGTTAATGGTGAACATTTTGAACATTTATTGTCGTGAAAACCATTTTAGTGCTAATTTCGTTTTGTCTTCAAAGTTTAATAATTTTCATTTACACTAATTTTTAGTTTATTTGTTTTATTTTGTATGTAGATTTAATTTACGGTAATAATTCGAGGTAGTTGACGATCTCGGATATCTAGATTAATGTTATTGGTTAAATTTTCTTAATAAACAATTTTTACATTTTATGCAAAAATTTTCTGATGTAAGGGTACAAAAATTTTACGTCATCATAAAGAGAAAAGAAATCTCTATCAAATAAGCCTAATAAAAGGGTACATTGCCATTTAAAAAAAATTAAATGTTATTCGTTGCTCATTTGTTTTCTGAAATAAAAACAATTGAATGGTGTCTTATTATGGCAAATAAAATACTAACCAACTTTTGTGTAAAATGTTTGTTTATAAAGTTGATACTTGCCAAGATATATACAATATTCCATACATAATGGGCACCCTGTATATTTCATCGCATATTCTTTTAGCCTATCAGAAAGGTAATTTAATTCTTTACAAATTATCTATAAACATTCCTATACCTAGGATTTATTGTAGTTTCCCTCATGTTGGGAAACTTATCAAAATAATCACGGAATGCAGGTTCTTTTTAATAAAAAGCCATGGAATTTTGACTGTTGTTGGTCCATGTTTGTATTATTGTTGTCATTAGTTACATTTGACGATGGGTGTAAGTCATTGAACACAATGGCAAATTATTTCAACGTTGATATTTGAAATTTATCCTGTATTAATAGCGTATGTAATAAACTTTTGGACAGGATGTCTCGAACACTTAATTAGAGATGCCTAACAAACCTAACGCCCATCACAAAGAATAAATTTGAAAAAATAGATAAAGATTTTCTTAGATGTGGACATATCGATTCCAAAACAAACCGTTATTTCTGCTCAGCAGTAATGAAGACAACGAAATAAATATTTTATCTTATTTTATTGCATTTCGAAATTTAATGTAATAAAAAATTTATGGGAACAATGCTATACAGGCTGTTCCTAGAATTTGTTTGCTCAGAACTTTTTTATTCAATCATAACCCTACATTCTAAATTTTTGCAGTTTCTAATACTAAATTTAGTTTAGAAATTTTTATCACTCTTAGAATATTGATAAAAATCATCGTTTTCGTGTTAAATGCAAAAATGTTGGGTTGTAGTTCAATGAAAAATATACAACAATACAACGCTGAATAACAACTTAAACTACCACTAACGCTAGCATTACAACTTACACTAGATCTAGAACTAGAATCATTCGGGTTTAGCCGTCTTTAGAGACGTGCGGCTAAACTCGAATGTTTCTAGTTCTAGCTCTAGTAATAATTCTAGTTTTACACTAGCACTGTTACTATGTAGAACTAACACTATACCTAGAAATAGAATCATTTGGGTTTAGCCGCACGTCTCTAAAGACGGCTAAACCCAAATGATTCTAGTTCTAGGTATAGAACTAGAAACATATGTGTTTACCCGGACGTCTCTTAAGACTGCTAAACCCGAATGATTCTAGTTCCTGGTCTAGTGCTGCATAACAATTAAAACTAGAACTAACACTGTTATTATGTAGAACTAAGGCTATATCTAGAACTAGAATCATTTGGGTTTAGCTGCACGTCTTTAAAGACGGCTAAACCCAAATGATTCTAGGTATAGTGTTGTTCTAGTTTTACACTAGCGCTGTTACTATGTGGAACTAACACTATACCTACAACTAGAAAAAATCACCGTTTTCGTGTTAAATGCAAAAATGTTGGGTTCCGATTTCAACAATAGCACTAAAAATTATTTATTTATTCTAGTTGTAGTTCAATGAAAAATATACAACAATACAACGCTTAATAACAACTTAAACTACAGCTAACGCTAGCATTACAACTTACACTAGATCTAGAACTAGAATCATTCGGGTTTAGCCGTCTTTAGAGACGTGCGGCTAAACTCGAATGTTTCTAGTTCTAGCTCTAGTAATAATTCTAGTTTTACACTAGCACTGTTACTATGTAGAACTAACACTATACCTAGAAATAGAATCATTTGGGTTTAGCTGCACGTCTTTAAAGACGGCTAAACCCAAATGATTCTAGGTATAGTGTTGTTCTAGTTTTACACTAGCACTGTTACTATGTAGAACTAACACTATACCTAGAACTAGAATCATTCGGGTTTAGCCGTCTTTACAGACGTGCGGCTAAATCCGAATGTTTCTAGTTCTAGGTATAGTGTTAGTTCTAGCGACAGTGCAAGTGTAAAATCAGAACTAACACTACACGAACCAACGTTCTAGTTCATACAACAATCGTTAGCTTTTGTCATTATCTTCTTTTGGTGTATTAATACAAACATTATATTATTAATTTTTTTTAATTAAATTAATTAAGGAACCGTAAGAAGATTTTTGGAGAAATTCGGCAGCTCTTTAGACATTGTAATATTCGTAGTGGACGCAACAGATATCGGTATATACGAGGTACTTCTTCCTTTGTACTTCCCCCGATCAAAACTGGAGGAGGAAGCGAGTCGTTGGCAGCTCCCGTCGGACGTTGGAGGTCCCGATGGTGAACCAATGTTACCCGATCGACAAATTCGGATCATTGATAATCCGCAACACACGTTACATCGTAAGCTTTTTTTTAAAATTTTAAATTGAATTGAAAAGCAAGAAAAAGACATGCTACATAGAAATTGTTTAAAACGTTGAATAAATAAATGAGTTATTCAAATAGAACGTCACTCGACACTTGATAAGACTTTGAAAGTAAATTGTCACGCATTCTCAAATTTCCAACCCGGGTTACACTTTGTGTTTGTCCTTAACCTCGGCTTGTTAATATGATCAACGAGTGTTTTGAATATTCTTGTAAGGAAAAAAAATTATAAAATGAATTAAAATTAAACTTGATTGATTTTTTTTTGTTGATTTTTTAGCCGATGAAGAATCGATTGATTTAACGGGACAATTAGAGACTTTAGTGACAGTCGAACATGCGTTTAGCCAAATGCAGGGTGATTTGGATCAACAAAGACTTCTTGGAGAACGTCCGTACAACGATCCATTAGCTGATTTAATGGTTAAAGAGATTCAACACCAAGAACGGTAAGTTTTATTTACACTTTTAATATTATCTATGTGTCGGGGCTTTACTTACAAGGAATATTACCCGTTTGTAATGTTTCTTTACATTTGGATTAATGAACTTGTTTTTTTCTTTCGCATTTAATCTTGAAATACGACATCAATTGTCTGCTGATGTTAAGATAAGAATTGAACTTTGAAATTTTGTTGAATTTTCTGTTAGTTTAATTAACTAAATTGATTAATTTCGCTTATTCGTTTTATTGAAGCGAATAAAATTATAAAGCGAAATGATGAGTTATATAATGAGGAGTATCATAGTCGCTAATGTCTTTATATTATGATGTCGGTTAATTGATTTTTGTTAATTAAATCGTATACGGCTTGGAGAGATAATCGTGAGAAAATAGAAAAATAAACCTGTAGGTGCGAAATAATAGCTCACTTCCTTTATTAACGATTTAACTTGTTTTTTTTTCTATTTACAACGCACTATATCTATATTTCATGTAGATGTAGTACAATACTTTAATTCAAGTAACTTTATAATACAATTTTTGGTGTTTGTAACAAAAAATTACTACCTCCGTTCCAAAATAAGTGTCTTTTTTGTAGGATTATTGAATAAACAAAAAAAAAGTTGTAATTATGAATTTATTTATAGAACACGTATTCATTGATCATAGTAGGTCGGGTATGTTTATGACACTAGAAATTTAAACCAGTGTCAATTACTAAATCTTGGTAAAAAAAAAGTTAATTTTATACATTACTCTCCAAAATTATCGCACCACCTAAATTATGCATTAAGTTTAAAGGTATGTATGTTTTTTCTTCTAATTTTGCAACACCCTGTGGAATTTATCAGAAAGAACCGCTACATTCCATTTACATTACGTTATATTGGCAACCCTTCTCTACATTTTCGTTTAAGAATCATCTCGATATCTCTTTTATCAAGGAAGATACACAAGTTTAAATGTAACGAATTTTTATTAACATTTTAAACAAGTAGGTGAAAACTAAAAAACACTACATAATCCTTAATCAATTCTCTCAAAATCACCTAATAACGTGTATTTCCGTCTCTCTTACGTATCACTTCTTCACAGCGACGAGGCATACTTAAAATCAAGCGTCGAATTTGATCTTGATCAATTGCATCCCAAACCTCTCTTACCATTCTCTCAACGTCGTCCAAAACGATAGGTGGTGGATGTCGGCCCCTTAACAGACGATCAATATTATCCCATAAATTCTCTATTGGATTGAGATCAGGGCTACAGGGTTGCCAGTCCATGGTTTGTATACCAACTTCATCCAAATAGTCACGGACCGTATAGGCAACATGAGGTCTTGCATTATCATGCATTAATAAAAAATTATTTCCTATGTAAGGAGCAAAGGGTACCACGTGTTCCGAAAAAATACCTTTCACCTGTTAATGAACCTCTTGGAAAAAAAACAAGGTCTGTTCGTGCTGTAAGCGAAATTCCACCCCAAACCATTACAGATCCTCCATTAAATAAAGTTGTCGGTCGTATGTTGCACTGTGCATAACGTTCATTGGGCCGTCGAATTACTCTTAAACGTCTATTTGAGCTGTATAAACAAAACCTTGATTCATCTGTGAACAGTACTTGTTCCCAGTCATCAGCATTTCAGTCAAGATGTTCTCTGGCAAATTGCAATCTCCTTCTACGATGATTTGCGTTTAAATTTGGTGCTCTGGCAGGAATCTTTGCATGCAAATCACCTTCGGCGAGACGCCTTAGTACAGTGTTAGTACTAATTCGAATATTATGAACATCTGCTACTTGTATCTGTAAGTTTTTCATTGTAACAAAACGTTCCCTTAAAGCACGAAGTCTAATAAAACGATCTTGGCGTAGTGTTGTGACTCTCCTTCTTCCTTGTCCAGGTCGTCTTGTATGATCATTTGTCTCTTGAAATCGTTGAACGGCACGTGATATTGTTGTATGAGAAACTCCTAATCTCAAGCCTATTTCACGATAACTTATTCCTTCATTGGCTAAAGTAACTGCCTCAACACACTCATCGCGGTTTAAATGTCTTGAAATACGGTCCATGTCAAATAAACACTTAATAACCCAAAGCAGCAACTTGCTAAATGCGTAAATAAAATTGACAAGCATTTCTGTCAAACTGTTTGATATTTCATAGCCTGCTTGTTTCATTAGTAAGGACTATATTTCAACAAAATTAAGTCAAACTTAAAAAATGTGTATCTTCCTTGATAAAAGAGATATCGAGATGATTCTTGAACGAAAATGTAGAGAAGGGTTGCCATTCTAACGTAATGTAAATGGAATGTAGCGGTTCTTTCTGATAAATTCCACAGGGTGTTGCAAAATTAGAAGAAAAAACATAAATTTCTTTTTACTCCCCGTATATGGGTAAAACGTTGACAATTGTCAGAAACCATAAACACATTTCTTCCTTAAAAATCAACCTATACCGTGAAGAAAGAATCGTCAAAATCCATCCGTTGATTCAAAAAAAAAACCTTTAAACTTAATGCATAATTTAGGTGGTGCGATGATTTTGGAGAGTAGTGTATATTCTCCGCCAAGTATAAAAAAATGAAAAAAATCATGTCAGAAAATATACGAAATTATAAAGGAGCGTTGAAAAAACGTAATTTAAGCAACGAGCAGCGACAAGGTGTCTTACAATATCTGCTGAAAAACGTAAGCAATGAAAAGTTGAAACACGGTGCAATTAAGCAGTGCAGCACCAAATTCAACGGTTGTACGCGGACAATAAACCGAATTTGGAATACAGCAAAACAGGATTATAATGTCGGATCTTGTACAGTTAACGTCGACTCAAAGAAAAAAGGAAATTCTGGAAGGAAACGTAAAGACAGAGAAGGTATAAAAAAGAAAATGTGGGAAGTTTCCATAACACAAAGATCAACCATCCGCAGTCTTTGTAACACAATTAACGAGTCATTGCCAACAGCGCACAGAATTTTGAAGGAAGGAGTCATAAGGAAAGTTTCAAGTACATTGAATCCTTTTTTGACCGATGACAATAAGAAGCGTTGATTAGAATTTGCACTTTGTATGTTACAAGAACCTAGCCTATATTTTCAAGAAATGTTAGAGTTTGTTCATATTGATGAAAAATGAGAAAAAAAAAGGAAACACCTCATTGAACATGTAAGAGTAAAAGATTAGTAAGTTACTCGTCATTAATGTAACGTAATTTATGTGGACATGATTACCAAAATAGTTATTCCAGCTATACAAGAAAAGTGGCCGAAGGGTTGGAAAAAAGATGCCCATCAAAATTCAACAAGATAATGCTCGACCACATTGTATTGGGTGTTTTTTTAAGCCCAATCGAACTTTAAAAAATTACAAAAAATTAATTTTTAATCCAAAAAATGTTTTTGTTCTAAAGATCAATACATGGCATTAACGGGCATAATGGATTTCGGGCATAGGGGCACCGCGGCTGTTCTTGACGAAGCGCATTCTGGACGTTCAATTTTGGGTACAATGATGCCACCAGCGTGCAAACCACACCAAACTGAGCATTTTTCTGCATGTAATGGAGTCTGTTGTGGATTGGTTTCACTCCATATGCAGTAATTTTGTTTATTAACAAACTCATTAAGCCAAAAATGAATCTCATCGCTGAACACAATTTTGCGATAAAACATCGGATCAGTTGCCAACTGCTCTAGAGCCCAATCGGCGAAAAAACGACGCATATGATGGTCTCGTGACTTTAATTCCTCCACCAGTTGGATCTTAAACGGGTGTGGTCCAAGATCTTTGCGTAAAATTTTCCACGTAGTGGACGGACAGAGCCCCAATTCCTGCGACTGACGATGAATTGATAAACTTGGATCTTCTTCCACATTTTCGTTTACAGTGGCGAGATTTTCTTCAGTACGCACATTCCTTCGGCGTGTTGGTGTTATTGCATCATTTAGAGAGTATGTGATATGAAATCTATCCACAGTTCGACGGATGACTTGCTCAGATGGACGATTATATGCGCCATACAAATTACGAAGTCGTCTATATGTTGTGCGAATTGATTACTGATTTTCAAAGTAAATCTGGTTAATTTGGTAGCGTTGTTCAAGCGTCAATCTATTTATGATGATTTGCCAGAGTATACTGGTAAAACATAAACATNTTCTTGACGAAGCGCATTCTGGACGTTCAATTTTGGGTACAATGATGCCACCAGCGTGCAAACCACACCAAACTGTGCATTTTTCTGCATGTAATGGAGTCTGTAGGGTCCGTTGTGGATTGGTTTCACTCCATATGCAGTAATTTTGTTTATTAACAAACCCATTAAGCCAAAAATGAACCTCATCGCTGAACACAATTTTGCGATAAAACATCGGATCAGTTTCCAACTGCTCTAGAGCCCAATCGGAAGAACGACGCATATGATGGTCTCGTGGCTTTAATTCCTCCACCAGCTGGATCTTAAACGGGTGTGGTCCAAGATCTTTGCGTAAAATTTTCCACGTAGTGGACGGACAGAGCCCCAATTCCTGCGACTGACGATGAATCGATAAGCTTGGATCTTCTTCCACATTTTCGTTTACAGTGGCGAGATTTTCTTCAGTACGCACATTCCTTCAGCGTGTTGGTGTTATTGCATCATTTAGAGAGTATGTGGTATGAAATCTATCCACAGTTCGACGGATGGCTTGCTCAGATGGACGATTATGTGCGCCATACAAATCACGAAGTCGTCTATAAGTTATGCGAATTGATGACTGATTTTCAAAGTAAATCTGGATAATTTGGTAGCGTTGTTCAAGCGTCAATCTATTCATAATGATTTGCCAGAGTATACTGATCATAAATATCAAAAAGTGAGCGC